AGGCCCCTCGTTCTGAGCTTCCTAATGTTCCCTGTCATTTGTCATTCCCCTTCTTCTTCCTGCAACGGCCGTTTCCTTCTTTCCCTATTACGAACAGTCTCTCCCCTTCAGTCTCCCTGCATGAGAGACCTCTCTTTCTCTCTCTCTCTCTCTCTCTCTCTCTCTCTCTCTCTCTCTCTCTCTCTCTCTCTCTCTCTCTCTCTCTCTCTCTCTCTCTCTCTCTCTCTCTCTTTTGCTTCTCGCTTTTGACACCACAGCCCCGTGTCTTGCTTTTGGGCTAGAGAGTGGTTAAGCTACCCTACCTGTCCACGGTGTCCGAGTAGCAAGCAAGAGCAAATTCACCAACATGGGTGACAGCCTTATTCCCTTGTCACACCCCCAAATCCTCTACGAAGCAAGTGTCTGCTCCAACTGCATGCCAAATCTTGCCAGCTGAAGCGGTTCCTATACATCATCATCACCATCCACGAATACATACAGCCACTCAAACACGCGCAACACCCATCCTCAATGAACGACTGACTCCCGCTCCCCCACCCTTTTCTCTTCATATGAATGAGACCTTGTTGCTCATAAGACAACTGGAACCTCGCATCCCAACGGCAGCCCCTATCCCTGCCCAGCCTTGTCAGTCCTCTACAAGAATCCATAACCACGTTCAGGTTGCTTCTTGTACGGATACCCGTACCATACACACCCCCCCTCCCCCCCTCCCCTCATCCCCACAAATGCCACCCGGTCTTGAGTCCCTGCTTGCCCGCTTCTTCCCCGTGGACCAGATTACCTCCACTGGCTAGGGAAGGACGCAGAGCCCTTTTCCAAAAGAAACGACGAGGGGTACTACTGTAAGGGAGGGTTGTCGGGATCCCCAAGACGGAGCTATTGGTACGTGAGCTTTCTGTTAGTGCGGCAAGCAGACGAAAAGCAATATCCATCTTCCCAAGGTCCCTGTTCCCTCCCGTGTGGATCTGTCCGGCCGAACCTCTCTATCGCCACAGAACTCGTCGTCGTCGTCTTCCCTTCGACACTCATAACACATGTACCATACCTGGCCTGCAGGGAGACAGACTGAACTTTGCTATCTCTCTCCATCAGACCTTTGCGAGAAATGCAACACCACTGCCCCGTACCTCGTCAACATTCCTCATCTACCTCCTTCACCCCCGCAACAAAATCAGCGACAGAGTCTGACTTTCTGAGTCCCAGTCTCGTCTCTCCCTCTTACTCCCCATCTCATACTCTCTTTCTAGTTTTCCCATTTCCGAGTTCGCCTAACCTGTTCATGCCCGTTGAGCATCATCACACTCGATTCCCGGGCACTTCTGGCTTGGTGGACCTCGCAAACCTACCTCTTTTCTCGCCGGAGAAACGCACGAGTGCTGCGGGATCTTGGGCCTTGTTTCCTTCAAAGCACGCCTGTTTCTAACTCTCTTGTTCTCACGAACAGGTTCGCCGTCAACCTGCAGGACCAACGAACGAAGCACGGTTCAGCTCCACATCTTTGGCATCGTCAACGAATTTCGTCTGTTTGTCAACAACTCCTAGGCCTGATTGGACACAACACGGACGAACACCCCGGCCTAGACGGTTGAGTACGTGATCCCTTCCTCTGCCTGCAAGCTGGTGCATGGCCACGAACTCCAGCAAGAAGCCGACATGCCACTTGCTGCACCTTGCCGTCCAGCCAGTGGTTCTTGCGAAGGAGCATCAGCGCTCTACCTTGGGAGCCATTCAGGCTGACTTGCGTGCCAATGAACAGACCCAGCACGGCATCTTTCAGTCGGTTACCAACGCGTTGGAATTCTTGGGTCATCCCGAAACTTGATCTCAGATTTCGGTTTGCCAGCGCCCCGGCGACCAATGACAGGTGCATCGGTCTGAGTCCATTTCGCGCGACATCTGCTCTCAAAGAGCTGAGCTTGGTTTAAGATTGCCGCTCCTGGGTATCTTCTCAGCCTTCCCGCTTTCTCCATTTCTCCCAACTTGCTTCGCTCTTCTTAACCTGGTATCATCACCCGGCCCGACCTCTACAGCTCTTCGATTCCAGTCGCGTCAAACCTCCACAATAATCAGAGCAGCCGATCTCCTCAAATTCCTAGCGCCACCAGCCAGCTCGGAAACGCCATCCACATATCTGAGTACGGTGTCTCAAACCAATCCTGCCGGGAGAATCTCCTGAGACTGACGTTCCTCTACTAGGAATTCTCCCTTCCCTCGCACTTGTCCTTGGCCTGTTCAATAAAACTCGCCCGGACTCTAATCACAGCAATCTCAAGACATATCTCTCCCTTCCTCCCTTTGTCCCTCGACGGTTCCACAAGGCCATAGTCTCTTCCTATCGTTGCAACACTGCTCCCGAAACAGTGGTTTGCATTTTCCCGACACCAGACCACGCATCCTTTCCCAAGTGCACCCTCTTCTACAGCTTGGATGTCTGCTGCGAAGTTTGAGTGTGCTTCCTACAAGCATTTTGAGGTGAGTCAAATCAACGTGGAGTCGAGCCACCCCCAAGACGTTGGTCGCATCACTGCACAACGCCTCAAGTTATCTTGCGGAGTGCGGTAAGGCTGACGAGATGTGCCTCGCCGAGAACAGCCCGACTTCCACCCGCAAAGGCCAATAATCATCGGCGAGGAAGGCCTTGACTCGCCAGAAACGGTGACTCTCAAGTACGAAGAGGCAGTCGCAAGGGCCAACGGAGACCTACGGGGCGATTCCCCGCCGGGCGGTCTCCTCCCCATGTCCCATTACGGGAAACCACAGCCAGGCCCAATCCACGGTACGTTTGTTCCTTGTGGCCGAGTTTGGTGAATTTGCTGTGATCTATTCGGTTGTAATGGAAGATTTGGCACAAAAGCTTTGAAGCGCAGTGGCTGACACGGCGCGATTTCTGCAGGGTATGATTCATCCCGTGGGTATCAGGATGCCGGATATCAGCAATATGGAGCGCAAACCTATCCTGCGCAGCACGGCAGTGCAGGTCAGCTCACCGCAGCCCAGATGAATCAGGAGGCATTTGCAGCCAACAGCGCGGTCGGCTCGTACATGCCCGTCAGCGTCAGCGTAAACCCATCTGTGGTATCATATCAACCAAGTTCTGGAATGGCAGGCACCAAAGTGCAAGTCAAGATCAACTCGCCATACGATCTCCTCACCGTAGCGCCTTTCTACTCTCTCGTTTTCGGCGCGAACAAGGTGTCTGCACAACCCACCAAAGAATCCCAGGATAGCAACGGCTACATGTTCACTGTCTCGGCCGACGCACCGCCATTTGTGGTCACCGGCTGTGCCAGCGAAAACGTGCCAGTTTTGGTCTTGATCGAAACAGAGAACGGCGAGCAAGTCATGAAGGAAGCGGCGGGCCAATTTGTATATCACGAAGCAGGCCCAGGTGCTAGCTCAGACGGCATCACGAGGAAGCTGTCCAAGTCACCTGAGCAACAGCATCAGTCCCCCAGGTCAGCAAGCACTCAGCTCGGCAACGAAGTCAATACAAATACGTACGACTTTGCTACAGCGCCGCAACAACCTGCCCAGTCTCCCTATGGAAACTCATTCTCGCAAGACAACAACAATAACAACATGCTCAGCGCTTACCGAACCAACTCCTTCCCGGAGCAGCATTACGCCCGGGCAGTACCCCCGCCGTTGCGGCCGCCGATGGTCGGATGGCAAGCATATGGACGAACGCCTGGCCCCCCCATTACACACACGCAGATCTCCCGTCCTAGCTTGACGCCGCTGCCCATGCCATCTGCCACGATGCCTCTGCTTGTCAGGACAAGCTCTATTCCCAGCTCTCCTGGAGGTGGACAGCAATCTGGATACAATCATTGGGGATCTTATTCGAACAAGGCCCAACTCAAGATTGTTGGCAAGCTCGACACCATGTCTATCGACTGGTCTCCCGAGGAATGGTCGAACCGAAGACGCATCGTCATGTTCAGCAAGAAGCAGACCGGATCGACTCTCACGGCGACCTTCCGGCCCGTCAATGTCAACGAGAGACCACCCAACAGCATTTGCATCAGCTGCATCTGGTGGGCGGAGAAGAACGAGTGCTACGTCACGTCTGTGGACACTATCTACCTCTTGGAGCAGTTGGTCGTTGCTCCAGCCAGATTTACCGTGGAGGAGAAGAACCGCATCCGTCGCAACCTCGAGGGCTTCCGGCCTTTGACAGTGAGCAAGGCCAAGGCAGACTCGGAAGAGTTTTTCAAGATCATCATGGGATTCCCCAACCCGAAGCCCAGAAACATTGAGAAGGATGTCAAAGTTTTCCCGTGGAAAATCTTGGAATCGGCACTGAAGAAGATCATTGGCAAATACAGCGCTAGCCCTTCGTCGACTCTTCCAGCCTCGCACCTCTTGACGCCCACACCGGTCAACGCGTATCCTCCGCCGCTCCCAACACCGCCAGCCCCAACTGTTGCATCGGACCATGTCAGTGCCTATGGTGTTCCATCGCAGGTCCACCACCACGAAGGCTTGACCTCACCGAGGTCGATCACTGGCAGCACGCACAGCTGGCCGGCGTACTCAACGGGGCCCCCGCGCAACCATTCTCCCGCACTTGCATCAGTGTCCCCGCGGCAATCTGGACTGCGTCTTGCTGCACCTTTACCAGCTGTTACCGGCTATGATAGTCGGTCGATGACGACCCACTCATACGGCGGCGGGCTTCAGACTCCGCTAGGAAACCAGCATACACCGCCATCGGCCCCTGGACGCTGGGATCCTACGATACCAGCGATGCATGCACCGACCACCTACGCAGAGCAGTATCAGTCTATGGCTGCGCACCACAACCCGAGTCACCAAGTATACGGTGGTGGCGGATACGGGGACGGGGCGCAACGGGCTTGATGCCGCGAGGCACCTAGGTGGGAGTGAGGGTGCATGGCGGCGGGCCAGGTGAGCGACGAGGTTCTGGCCAAGGAGGCAACGTGCTTCGCGTCTGGTGAGGCGCAAGCGTGATATCCCGGAAGCAACCCAAGTCTTGTCGAGAGTTGATGGAGTGAGTCACTACTTTTGGCCAGGGGTACGGAGGGGCTTGGAGACACACAGGACAAGCGCGTGAACGAAACACGGGAACAAGAGCAGGGCTGGACAAAGAGAAGGGAAGCATCAAGAGATGTCGTCGGAGAGCAAGTCGTACGTCGTTGACTTGATTGGGGATGGTCAGGCTGCGACTTTGGACAGGCTGCAAGAGGAAAAGATGGAGGTGTGGTGTAGGGGTCCACGGGTTTATCCCCCACCCCCCCGGTCACACTCACACATACCCTCCGTCGCAGTCCCGGTCTTTGCTCCTAGGTTCACTGAGGTGCTTGACGGTCTGGGACTTTGGTGTGGATGGGTGGAGACCCGGAGGTGCTGTCAGCTGCTGTGGCGCAGACCAATGGAGGCTTCCGGAACCGAATCCACTTTTCCCGATTTAGCTGGAGTCGGCGAATCACCTCTGCCCCGCTCAGCGACCGGCACCGCCTGCTCCACTTTCCGGCATCGACTTTGGGAATTACGAGCCACTTTTCCCCGACGCACCATCCTCCCCCCTCCTCCCCCCTCCCTCTACGCCGACTCGTCTCAGCTGGGAGACTGTCACCCTGTCTCTCTTTCCATCCTTTAGAGGCGGGGGAATCTTTCGATGTTTCCCTCTTTTTTTTGACAGCTTTCAGTATGGATGAACCCTCCCTGAGCCTTCACCGCATTGTCACGACGGACAAACAGCAGGGGCAGGCGGCGTCTAACTTACCTCTCTGGACCACACTTTGCCTTTTATCCATGACGGAACGATTCGAGACGACCTATCACCACCGAGTTTGCCCGCCTGCACTTCGATAACGCATCCGAGCCTCGACCCTCAACGTCGCCAATCACTAGCCGTTTCCTTCGTGCATGATGGGTTGGGGGTTGTATCTGGTGATCGTCTGTTGGAGGGGTCGCCTGCATCCGTCCGGCCTGCATGACGTACATCATCTGCGTCAAGGAGCTACCGAAGGACACCGCGCCTTATCCGCCTGCTCCCAATGCTAGTCACTTACTCTGTCTTCTCCAGACTCGTCTGCCAACCGGCTTGTCTTCGACCACTCGCTTGCCTTCCCGCCGGGCCTCTTCGGTCGTGCATTGGCGTTCCCGTGTTCCATACATGGGTTTCAAGGGCTCACCCGAGCCATTCACATGGCCTTCAAGCCTAGACAAGCGCCCTAAATCAACGACCTAGGACGAGCCGGCTCATCTGTCACGAAAAGGAGAAGGAAGCATGTTCTGGCCAGGAAATCGATTTCCCGAGCCAGGATCAGTGGCAGCCTCCACCACCACTATCACAGCAACCAGAGCACGCCTTCCTTGGCTCTCGACTCGCCTCACAAACGCGGGTGGCGCGGCTGAGTTTATTCTCACGCAGCCAGTCCGACCCTCCACTGCGCATTTTCGCTATCAACCCCAAGATCGGCAAAGACGGGGCGCGGACTGATGCACCTCCGACCACGACGCTGCTAGCGACGCGTACTCTCGCGGCCTGGACTGGCTCATCATCTTGGCGTCGATTTACCTACCACACACCATCTGCCTCCTTGCCCGAGACACTTTCATACTTGTTTCAGGAATGACTGCAGTTCGAGCTGCCCACTGCCCGTATAGAAGGATACAACGGCGTTTGTCCTCGACTTGTTTGGTGATAGACTCGGTTGCATTTTGCTCATCTTTCCCCCATAGAGGACCGCCCACTACTACCCCACCAACGACTAGGCATTACCACCAATACGACTTTTCTCGCCTTTGCTGCAAACCCCCTCGGTGTACCGCTAGCAGCATTCCCACGGCTCTCCGTGGCACTTGACTTCGCTTATCTGGACGACGTCTCGGCAATCTCAACCATACACGATAATCACCTCCACATCACTACAATCACATCACTTGCGCTGCAACGACACTCCTTGCTCTGGATCCATCCTCCCACAACACAACACCCAACATACCCTATACAGCGTTTTCATTATCTCTCTCTTCCCCTCTATCTCTCTTTCTCTCTCTCTCTCTCTCTCTCTCTCTCTCTCTCTCTCTCTCTCTCTCTCTCTCTCTCTCTCTCTCTCTCTCTACCTCCCATACATCTCATATTATCTTTGCATTTATCTTTACTGGCGCGAAGGGGACAGGGGTTGGGATAGAACAGGGGAGAACTTGGACTGGTACCGGTCAAATCATGTAGGACTTTCTAGAAGACAAGTCGAAGAGGGGCGGAGGGGGGCTGGAATGGACAATGTGCGGACAGGGCGACGGAGAATACACGGTGTCACAGGTGTCTTTGGTATGGTAGGGACCGGGACAGGTCGGTTCTCGGGGAAATCAGGTAACGGGGATACAACATTTTGGTGGGCTGCACATAGCATTATACCCTTCGCTTTGCTTTTGATGGCTTCAGGATCTGGGTTTTCGGTATTGTCACATATGGGATAGTCTCCTGATAATCATAATCGCTTGACATCTTTTAAGAACTTGGTCCTCGTTGTACTCACTGTGTGATGTAGAGTGATTGCGCTTCGGGAACCTGCTCTCCGAACGGTTCTGGTATACATGTCGATATGCCTCGGGCGTAGTGAAGCAGCGCCATGTGGTTGTAACAGAGAACTGTCTGATTCACTGCTTCCACCGAGAAAATGGGGCATTGTCAGCCATGATGAAGGTGATTCAGTAAGACTACCTCGAGCTGCATAAAAGAAGCCAAATCTCATGGTCGCAATTGTCACCATCAAACCACCCGTCAGTCACTCAAGCATTGGCATCGAGTTCCCTGATTACTGAATTAACAAGTTCACCAGCATCTTCATTAACATCGCAAGCTCTCTAACAAAACCACCACCAACCAAAACCAAAATGGCAAGCGACGCGAGTGTCAACACCCTAGTAGGCCTCCTCTCCTTCATCATGGTCGTCTCCTTCCTACTTTTCTGCTTCCTCGTGTACATGCGCTTCGTCAGGCGGCTCACCTTTATGTCCATCAACCTTGGACCGCGCAGGGGACGGAGTACCACGGTCGCCCGGGGGAGTGTCGCCGGCGGTGCCAGTGGAGGAAGTGAGAGCCGCGCAGGGGGAGCGGGCGAAAACGGAGATGTGGGCAATGAGTTGGGTCGGACTGGTGGCGTGGTGAATGGCCAGGGACCGGCGAGGGTGATTTGAGGTGCTCGGCGGGAACTGTCCGAGGTTGGAGATAGGTAGGAAGCCTGGGGATGGTTAAAGGTTGCTCCAAGGCAAGGTATATGACTTGGTGATGGACGAGAGGCTCGATAGTTGAGCTTTGGGGGGAACGGCCATGGATTTCAGTACGGCAGTCTCTGATTTCAGCAAATGTGAGAAAGCTCCAGTCTTCTGACAGTACAATACAAACTCCAAGGACGTTCTAGACACATAAAATACACGTCAAGTAACTCCTGCAACCCAGGGACTTGCAAACGATCATGAGAGGAAACCTAGATACCGTCTTCGATCCCGCCCTGCCTTTCTCCTTCTCAAACTCCGAACCGAATAAATCAACGGGTACCTTGACAATGGTAGGCCCCTTCTATAGTCTCTTTCGTGATGTCCACCGTGGCGCATGCTTCTCGAAGCCATCGAAGCTGGTCGCCCCTCATCTTCATATTGTTATCATGCGGCAAATGAATCGTGATGCTTCTCGCCTCGGGCTCCCCATCCTCTCCACTCGATTTAGGCGCTGGGAGTAAGGATTCGGGAGTCCAGGTGAACCTCTCTCGAGATCCCTCTGCCGTCTGATGTGCGAATTTGAAGGCGCCAAAGAGGTCAAACACGTCCCTCTTGACGACGGGCCCGACGGCGTGGCTCCAGATCCTGTGTATGGTCCCCCAAATTGGCTTTCTTAGCACGCCCATCTTGTCCTGTTCATTTTCAGCTTTCTTCGCGGGATCTGGGACCACTATGAGCTCGCCTAGAGAGGGGTCCCATTCCGGAGGTTCTTGATGGCCCGGGGGCGCGAGGGTCATAATCTCCCCGCAGATCTTATTGCAATTGTACCGGTCGAATTTGAGGGCAATGTCATCATCGGGGGATTTCAATGTAGCGAGGTATCGTTGGACACCGGTTGGTCGACAATACCTTGGCGGCGCGACGGTTTTGCTGACTCTGCCCCCTTGGCTCCCATGCCTCTTGAGACCGCCGCCGCCGCCGCCGCCGCCGCCGCCGCCGCCACCACCCGCAGGACTCGTCTTCTTCTTCGACCTATTCGGCTCCTTCGATTTCTTGGGCTCCAACTCCTTGGTCGACCTGAAAAGCCCGTCGCAGAGTTCTCGCCAAAAGTTCCTCACCCACAATTGGGCTAGCATCGAATGCCGGCCGTAATTTTCATCTCCAAAAGGTTTGTAGACGATCCCGAGTAACCATTGTGTGTATCTGAGCGTTTGCTCTTTCACAAGATTTTCAAAAGGGACGTCGTCAAAGCCAAGGAAAAATGGACCTACTGGACTTTCACGGCGCCGCTCACTGCGATGTTGGGCCTCCACGAGTTCTCCTCCGAATGGACGTACAAGTTGCATCTGGTGGCAGAGTAGGCCTATCAAGTATATGGCTTCACAGTCTCTTGTGACTGTCGTCTGAGTCCCGGTTGCTGTGTTCCGCGCATAAAGCTCAGTGCGCAAGCCCTGGATGAGCTTCGGCAGACCGATGGTTCCAATGGTGAAGTTGCTCGCAAGACCGGCGTGGACATTCTTGACCGACCACCAGGTCGGACTATCCAAGTTTTCGAGTTCAACCATGTTCATGCCGCCATTGTCAACGTCCATTGCGTCCCCCTGTGGTGCCGAATTGGCGGCCCTTATAGTGAAGTCGATCTTGGTACCGGCATACTCCTTGGGTAGGTCCCAATCCTCCTTGACTACCTGTAACCTCGGCCAGGTAGTATCTCGACGAAACAGATGCCGGACCCCTTCGCCGACAATCAAACCACCATGGCCAGCGACGTGGTCGATTCGACGCTCCACGAACCAGCGTGCGTGGAAGCCCAAGTCAATCCAAGCCTCCCTCATCTCAGGTTGGTCTTCCATTGTGTTTAGGCGCTGGGAGTCTCTTGAACACCGAAGAAGAACTCCCTTGCCAACGGCAAGACCCCAAAACGCATCGAGTTTATTGAGCAGGCATTGCCACATTTCAACCTCGTACAGAGCCCACTGGACAACGCGTCTGATGATGTCGTTCATTAAACCCTTCTTTGCGTCAATGTCACGCACCTCGAAATGAGGGAGTCGACCGTGAAATGGCACCGCCATTGCTGCCTTCTTCGGAACATAGGGGGCATAGGGCTGAGGCAGCTCGGATATGTGTCCGTAGTGCTGCTCAAATTGCTCATCGACGCATTGCTGGAAGTAGAATGGATCATTCCGAAGCCTCATCAGATGGTCTTTTGACCACTTTAGTTGCCGCTTGTACCTCGCCTTGAATTCGTCAGGCCATTCCGGAGAGAGAAGGGCCGGTGGCATGTACGACCCATACTCGACTATCCCCTCTTGCACGAGGTCGAAGATTCCGATTGGATGGTATGCTGATTCCCAGGCAGCGACTCGGTCAGGGTCGATAGTCTTACTATTTACTTCTTGTTTTGATTGGCCGCTTTTAAGTGCTATTGCTTTGGTGACACCGCACAAGACTCGGTAAAGCAGGGCTTGAGCAAGGAGGAGATGAATGCCGTCGGCCCAGCCAAAAAGGCGACCTTTCTCGCGTAGTTCCGTGAATAGCGAGTCTTGTTCAGAGTCTTTTTCGGCAGAAGAGCAGATCAGTATATAGTCGTTCATGAAGTAGGAATACGGGGAGCTTCGTTTCGTCTGTTGGCACCGCTGGACTTCTGATGGAGTGAGAAGCCCAATGAATCGGTCGTCGGCAAATTTGGGCAGAAACAGCTTGCTGGCTCGACCAAGATGAAGTGCTTCCCAGTCTGCTAATGTGAAGGCACTGGGTTCGCAATTGATTCGGTTTATGATGAGATGTGCCAAAAGCTTGGGATTGCTGAGATCTTCTTGGTTCATCATAGGTAGCAGGAAAGTCCTGTAGGCCTGTTGCGTGTCGTTGGTGGGATCGTCTTCATACGTAACGTTCTTGAACGAGACTTCGGCGCCTCCATTCTTGCATGTACGAGTTTCGATATGTTTGAAGAGCCTGTAGTATTCCTCCAAGTCGGCGTTGCGATTGTGCGGAGGCTCGCTGTCTGTTCCAAAGAGATCGAGTTCGGGATGACGGACGAAGGCATATTTGTACGCCCCATTGACGAGTGACAAGAGCTCGTCGCGGGGCAGGGATGGCTCGTTATTGAGAAGGTTAGTAATTACCTCCACATTAACCTTCCCGCGGAGGGCTCTGAATTCTGCTTGTGACTCGGAAAGCGCTGTAATGATCTGTCTCTCAAATTTGCTAGCAGTTTCTTGGCTCATCAGCTCTGTGGAGATGAACTCGTGGATTGTATCTCGCTCCTTGATCGGCTCTCGAAATCCGATGTCTATTAGGCTTTGTGAGGGTTTCTTGTCGCAAGTGCTCCATGGGCCGCCTGGAAGCCAATTGAGCGATGAGTAAATCTTGTCCAAGTATTGTTCTGATTCGTCATAGACATCCTGCGATGGATCTTGCATAGTGCATCACGGACAAGGCGGGTGAAAGCCTTGGGGTGAATGCGTGTTTGAAGGCCGACAGAGTAGTGCCCAGATAGCGAACGTCGGATAGAGCGAGCAGTGGTGACGGCTGAGAATGATAGTAGCAGTTACCTGGACGATGATCTAGAAAAGGGAGCCTGGGAAAACCTGTGACAGAATGGACTGGCATACGAGACGTCACAAACAATGAAGAGTGAGACATGGCTCTAATAATGTGTTGAGGGTAAGATCGAAATAGACGAGATGTCATGATGGCGAGGCCTGGAGAAAGATACGTGGGCCACAGGGACAGGGGAAGGCATTCGGTTCCAGTGGTATTATTCGGGGAAGCACAATGAAGGAGGCTTCTCTTCTTCGAGGAACAACAATCCGATGACCTGACAAAGCAACGAAAGGAAAGGAAGAAGGACTTGGCCAATGACAAGGCAATTATTTCTGTCATCTTGACAGATTGATGAGAAAGAAGGGGGCGTCGAGCTTTGTAGGACTGGGAGAATTGTGCCTGGTGATAGTTGCCCTCCAATGGAAGCCCAGAACAAGTTTGTGGTGGAAGAGCATCATCATGTAGCCAAGGAATTGAACAAGAGGAAAGTTCGAAGGGCAGATGGCATACTTGACGAGTGGGAAGGGCATTTGAGGGGCAGAAGTGTCAACGTGATTTGATAGCTTCAAACGTCCGTTCAACTGGTATAAGATGGGTTGAAGTGCAATGGGAGTTGGTTGGCGAGAACGTGGTGAGACTTCCGTCATTGTTCAGAGGAACGAGATCAGATGGACCACCTCAGATCAGGAACTCGCGTCAGGTCCTCAGGCACTCCGTACCTTGCCTACCAGGTGTGCTTTCCAAGTGCGTGGTTCCTGACTTAGCCGTCAGTAGCGCGCATGTTGGTGGGCAGCAAATTCTGGCAAGTTGCAACATGTCAAGGAGGGTCTTGCTGGAGTGATTCGTGAATGGTGACTGCGACTGTCAAGGAGATTTTCCGGTGCCGGATCCGGGAAGACAAGGGAAGACCATGCTTAATCGAGTTAAAGCTGCGGGTCCATGAGTAGGCGAGACCCATTGTTTCCATGCACCAACAAGGACTAGCGTCCTGTTTAATGAGTGGCGCTCGGCGCGCAGGAGCCATCTAGCCGGGCCCACCGTCCCACGTCGTATTTCCACGAGGGCAAGAGCCAAGAGGGTCGGTCAGGTACGCCTGGGTCCTTCTTTCTTTCTTTTTTTGTCCCCCTTCCTCGCCTGACTTTCTCTGTTTCGTTGTTTCCCGTTGTCAATGAAAAAGGCCGATCGTGATAGGCAACTGCGTGGAAGAAGCAAGAACCCCGAGAATGTTTCCGGAAAGAACACATCCATCATCCGTCATCAATCATCCACCTATGCATAGGTACTCCTGAGTCTGGAGATGATGCCAACTTGATGAATGAAGTGACAGTCAGCTACAAGTACCTTACCTACAAACCAAAGTTACACGGCCATGCCCAGAATCCAGGGGTAACACGTCTTTTGCCCGCCCAAGGTCAGCACAGAACGCGCCATTGGGTGGACGTTTGGCCAAGACCAATGGACAAAGGCATCAAATCAACCCTCATTATTATCAGCAATCGGCCCAGCCCAGCCCGGGCGCCGCAGTAGCTCAACCACCTCAGCTTGGCGGCAGGTGGGTGGTATTATTGACTCTCACACACACTGTCTCTCGCCCCTCCACTCCCACCGACCGACGTAGGTATCCGTAATCATGTCCACAGCCTACCTTACCTACCTGGGCACCTAAGGTACCTTACCTTACGGTTAGTAGCCCGGTGAGATGCAGAGCTGAAGATGGCCCTTATCGCGCAAAGACACCCAAGACACGCTACTGACGTACAGAACGCACCAGTGCCTGCGCCAGTCCCAACGCCAAACGCCAGCGGCAACGCCAAACCAGTAAACGCCAACGCCGGCACCGCCAACATGGGATTTTTCATTCCTGTTTTCTCTTCTTCTTCCCCCTCCTCCCTCCGAGCTGCCGTTTCTTTCACATTTTCTCTCTCTCCAGCTCCGCCTCCTGCATTTCTTGTGCTTACGACGTCGTTTCTTTGAGGAAGGCAATTCTGTTTAAACCATCCATTGTCACTCGTTTTTCGTAATCCTTCTTGCTGATCGCCCTGCCTCCCATCACAACCAGAATATCCCTACCTTGATTCTGCCGCTCTCCACACTCGTTCACATACAGTTGTTGTCGACAAAGACGGAAACGCAGGGATCAAGATTGCCTCTATTGTCCAACGTTGCAAAACACCACGATAGCCGAGTCCCATTGTCAATTCCGAGCCCGATACACTCCAAATAGCAAACCACAGCCCCTGCGACATCCGTCGTCGCTTTTGCCTCCAAGGGCCACCCAAATCGAATCGATCCGAACCGCCCGGCCCCCAGTCACTGTTCAACCGGGTCTCGCCCACTCGAGCCTCAACCTTGAACCCGCCCACCATGCTCTCCACATTCCTCCTCGCCTTGGTGCCCCTTGTGGCAGCGACATCCTCCTCGAAACGTGGTCTCGTCTTCACCCCAAACTCCAATTGGCCTCAGGACAACCAAGTATGGGTTCAGTCAGGCTCCGATCTGACGTGGTACTACAACTACCAGGAAATCCCAAGCCCGGCCTTCTCGGGGAAATCTCAGGCCGAGTTCGAGTTCGTACCCATGATGTGGGGTGTCTCATCGAATCCCCAGGACACGGCATTCCTCAAGAGCGTGACGAGCTTGATCAAAGACAAGGGCATCAACATCACCCACGCTTTGGGCTTCAATGAACCTGATGGTCCCTCGCAATACGGTGGCAGCGACGTAGCTCCCTCCATCGCTGCCAAGGCCTGGGTCGCCAACTTCATTCCCTTGCAAGAGCTTGGTGTCAAGGTCGGCCTTCCTGCCTGCACGGGCGCACCGGGCGGGTTGCCCTGGTTGAAGCAATTCCTGGGCAACTGCTCCGCGCTCATTAGCACCGACTCGGAGACCAAGAACTGCACATACGACTTCCTCCCGGTGCATTGGTATGATAACTTTGGAGGCCTGGCGAGCCACATTGGCGAACGCGTCGCAGCGTACGTTGTCATCCATCTCTCATGCTGTCCGTGTGATACTGATATTTACCTAGGTTCCCCGACACCAAGATCTGGATCACTGAGTATGCCTATGCCAACCAGGACCTTTCAAATACCCAGGACTTTTACAACATGAGTGCCGAGTACTTTGACCGCATTGACTACATTGAGCGTTACACCTACTTTGGTGCTTTCCGCTCCAAGACGAGCAACGTTGGTCCCAACGCCTCGTTTTTGAACAACGATGGCAAGTTGACAGACATTGGCTCATGGTACCTCGGCAAGAGCGCCACGGGGGTGAAGCCGACGTCTGGTCACAGTAGCGCCGCCGTTCGTGGAGGCGCACCGGTGCTTGCCGCGATGGCGGCGACTATCCTCGGCGCCGTCTTCACTCTCACCTCATGATCAAAACCGGCGACCCTGTAGATTTGGTCTTCATCAAACACGAGATGTGGGACTGCCCATTACCATCTCGTCACGATGTAGGGCGGGGTATATACAACCCGTGGGAACATATTCACCATATAGACGGAATCAGGAGAATACGCCTGGTTCCTTTTCCACATATTTTCTAATGTTTCTTCTTCTATCGAGTTATAGAACGCGACTCATATGTCGAAAGAGCGACGAAAAGATGTCGCATCAGGATTAGAAGGCAATTGGGAGATGCCTGGAAACGAATAAAATTTGACGACGTTACACAATATTTACAAT